CTGGTTGGGTCTCATCAGCAGTGTCAATCCATTTACCCAGCTGGGAATCGAACATGAAACAAAAGTAGACGTTAAATTTTTTCGAAGTATTCTCCACCAGCGTTCATGCACCACAGTTCCATGCACTCAAACCGCCTGCCACGTTGGAATTCCACAAACCACTCACATACAGTGCTTCTTGAAGGTGCAGCATCTGCAAAGGTAGCTCGCAAACGATTAACACTCTGTTGCTACTGCTGCTACTTCTTTAGACCACATTTGTAGTCTCAGAATATCATGTCCCTCCAGTGACACCGTGACTGAGTTCAATGCTTACAGGTCGAGCATAGCGACGTGTGAGCTGTACTCGGCAATGTTGATATTTGGTTCTGTGTGAGTTGCAATCACTTAACAGCATTCACAACAGACTACGGTTCACGTATTCCTTGCCCGGACACATCTGCGTTTCGTACTTGTGTACACTGCGTATCCGGAACCGCTTTTGCTCAGCAGTCGTACCTACTATAGTTGGTAGGCCAGTAGACCGGTTGGAGTATGATGTTAAGTTGAATTCTGTTCTGGTCTATTTTATAACACTGTTGGAAAGATGAATCTGGAGTGAGACACGAACCCAACGCAGATAATGAAGTGATTTGGTTCAGATAAGCCCAGTAGCTCTGTTTTTCTACAATCACTTTGTTAATATATAGTCAAAAAACACCCTGATCGAGATTCTCATAGCAAATTAAAACAGACCTACTCCTGAAACGTAATTGATACGAACAATTTTTGTGTGGTCAAAACGAAGACGGTAATACTATGGGACCATGGTTTGAGCCAGTCCTGGCAGAAAGATTTATAGCTCAGCCTGAACATAAAATGGAGAGCGTGAGTTTGTAGGGTAGGTATATGGCCCTTGTGATTCAGGAACCGTTGAATGTATTCAACTACGCACATTCAAGGTGAAGATGAAAAACTATAATCTATTGAATTAACTTAATGTCAGGATTTGCTCACCGGAGGGTGGTCAGATCCGCTTTTCAGTTGCATTATGCACTGCTTTTTAGCCCAGTAAGATGAACGTTTAATTTAGTGAGCTATCTAACCTACGGGTTTAAGATAATTTGTACTCCAATGATTCTAGAGGATCAGCTAAGTTGTAAAACAGCATTATTTCAAAAAAGAACAGATTTTGATAACTGTTTTCTTTGACGTTCCTTATGGGTGGGGGATCGAACGATCTAATAATGTGAAACATCTAGTCTTGATGCTAAACCAGGAGTTGGTCGCTGGACCTCGTTCACAAGAAACCTTATATTTGTGTAAGATGTAATTGGTCACATAAGATATCCTGGAGTTTATAGGCCAAGTTCAATCAATTCTCTCCCCAGTTCAACTTGATACACCGTTGCCGTCAGTTGTGTGCCACTTTGGGATCCCAAAGAAACACATCATTGAATACACGCTTTTAAGTAGCCGCTATTGAACGATGGGGTTGTACATACATATTTTGTATTCGGTTTCTGTCCTGAATTAGTGAAGCATTTACTTTAGTTCTTTTAACCCTTCGGTACAGATCATATTGTGAGAAGGGTAAAAGTCATGTTGACCACAGCCTCCAGCGAGCAAACAAAAAGTTCAAAGTTAAACAGAAAATTTCGAGTAATCATCGTGCAGCAGAAGCTATATTCATGAAGTGTGCTTTTCGACGTTGCAGGAGCAAGTTCAAGAATAACTTTAAGTTTCTCACCTTGTCAATTGATTTTATCTCCCTCGATTAATTACCTCACCTGCTTTCCGCGCAGACGGGTTTCAGAATGTCTTTACAGTGTAAATTTAATTCAATTTGCGCTGTTTCACCAGTCAAAGTTAATAATATTTCCCTCCCGTGAGCTGAAAATGTCAGGAGATTATTGCACCAAGATGAAATTTGCATATAACATAATTGTCCAATAAAATGTTTGCAGTTGTTATCTAACTCAATACCTGTCGATCCTTTCATCATTTCGTACCGAGACCAGACAAACTTGGGCATTATTTATCCCAATTTACAGCCAGACGTTGGTGATTGAATTAGGTCCGCTGTATCCCCCTATGATGATCGTCTGCCTCGTACTTAAAGTGCACTCCAGACCGGAATTATTCTCCTTAGTTTATCCCAAACCGCGCAGATCATGACAGTTCTTAATCTACTTTTGTTGTTTCATTGATTGGTTACATTCTCAGTCATTGTTCAGAGTATCGACTACTAACTTAAGTTCATAGTCACTTGTCATATTTCAGAGCAAAATTACTGCCAATTTCCGACGGCACCCTTCCTAACGCGTGGCACACGACGGTTCTTGAAAATATGTATTCCCAGGAAACCATAATGACAATAATGATAAAAAGTGGGTATTCACGAGAGCTTACAAAAGNAGAACTCACCGGTGGTTTGGTACGCAGTCGATATACCCACATACTCATTTCCAATATCCAGACCAATACGCCGAATAGGAGACCAGCTCCCAAACCGATGAATGCACTGGACATTTTGGTCAAGGTCAGCTTGCTTNNNATAGCACGGCACGGTCGCATTATATCGTTGCAACCAATACTGACGCATTTTTTCCAGCGTTTGGTCTTTTTGCAATTTGAGTATACTTTCCGACAAGAGATCCCGTAGCCCGTTGTCTGGAATGAAAAAGATCGTAAACCGTTGAAAAATGTTGCAGACTGATTCCCAGAACTGGGAGGGGAAAACAACAAGCAGTTAATCGTCGTCGTTCTACTCGCTCCCTTGTGTTGAATATAGGAAATCGTTCTATGTGGAAGTCAGTAAGGAAATGGAGTGGTACACTCGTAGGTACACTATGGGACTCTTGTAGTGATAATTATTCCTGATTCCACAACCGAAGTCCTCAAATAGTAATAAGATGGGGACTACTGAAGACGGAAAGTCTCACATACGCTTAGTACGGACAGAATACGTCGCTGTGTTGCCCCAGTTGATGTCAAAACCATTTTGGTTGTTGAAAATCGTGGTTGTCTCTAACACGAATCACCTTGTTTCATTTGAATTTCATTCCATCTTCTAGCAAATGATCACAACTAACTTTCACTTTACTGCATAAAATACTATAAGCCCATTATTATTCTTAACCCCCTCTTTGACACAATGTATATTTCTGACTAACTAAAACAACCAAAACATTATCAAAGTTCTTTTTCTTGAAATTGTCTACTGTTCTACTTATCATTGATCGCATTGTTCATCAAAACTACCGGGTGTCCGGTGAAGCACTTTAATCACAATGGATAACACGGTGCCACACAATATTTCTCTCACCTGGTTATATAATTCCAAATCTTTGTGATATTGTAGACAAAGATGAAACTCTCATTGCCCCGTGCTACTCAACGCTTAAAAAGAAACACTTTAAATGCTCAACACACATCCACACATTCTATCTCCAACATAAAGAGTTCATGGACTCCCCGAGGGTGAAGATTAAAGTAGCTGATAAAACGCTTCAAACCGAGACGCGAAATGGATACACAATACGCGGGTCCTGATCTGTATGGATTCGTGAAACGCTAAACCAGCATTTGAAGAGCGCGCGATAGACAGTGGACAAAAACACACTGTGTTAAGATAAACGTATCCAACTGACTTCATTGCTTAATTTGTTCTACTGTTAATGAAGTTACAATAAAATTACCAAAAACTTACTAGGTCTGCTTCTACATCCAAATATATTACTACCCATTGGGAGATTTGTGTTAAGAAAGGATACAGATCACATTGTGTGATCGTCCCATGATTAGATTCACGGCACGACGTGAGAGAAAAATGCGGTAATTGATGTGTCCTGACAAGCAGGCGACGATGGCGAACACGCCTGCTTCTAGTCCCGTACAGTCGGCTTTTTGACAAATTTATAATGATGTTTTGCTGGTGGTGAGCTTGGTTAGAAATTCAGCGTTGCTTGGATCATCAGTGTATTATAATACAACAATACAATACAATACAATATAATATAATGAAAAACCAAATGACAGTGCACCCAATAGTTTTTGGAATCAGGGGAAGTGATTGCTGTTCTAATCAGCTTCCTATATAATGGGACCATATTTTTGTCGGCAAAAACCTAGTTGATGAGTAAAATTTGAGTTAGAATTTGCACACGCTAGCTAGAAATTTAGTCAAATTTGAGCATAGAAGCGTTCTTCAACAAGGCCATATGCTCTCTCTTTCTGATATTTTGTATATCATGCATGTGATCTGCAGCTTAGCCGTACAAAAGAATAATTGTTTTGAAACAGTTACTTTCCGAAATGAACGTAAACAAAGAACAATACACTATAAGTGAGCAAGATTTACTTCCAAAATTATTTGGCTGAATCTCAACTGGTGCTTGCCTAGAAACGATAGTTTATATATCACAGGGCATGGCAATCTAACATGGTATCAGTTCATTCTTCCGTGGTCACTGTGGTCTTACGTGGTCACCAGAGCAATGCCAGACTGATATCAACCTCCTTCTGCTGACACAGCAGGGGCTTTCGGGGCTTGATTGCTATATCCTTTGCAAATCTTAGCAACCGTGTATTTGGGATTGTTTAAACAACCCGAAGCGAAGTCCTGTGATTGGCTTGTTGGACATTCTGCAGCAGATGGCGAACAAGCAATGACGTAGGTGGTCAGTGAGACTGGCTTCATGGCCTTGCGGTTTGTGTAGCGCTCAATTTCATCCGCTCGCGTTCGACCCATATCGGTATGTATTTGGCCACTCGGGTACGCAGCTGCCTCTCTGTAGTTAGCTCCGCAACCACAATGAAATACACACAAAAATGCCATTTAGCGGACAGATGGAGAGTTGAGTTCACCATGGGCATCGGAAACTAAGTCGTTGTGAAGCGAACGACCGGATTTGAAGCAGAATATGTGCGAGCTACAGTCGCCACCAACCGTCTTCGTATGAGTTGGTCTACATCACTTTGGAAAGGGAATTAAATGGTGACGTCGCATTTTGGCACCATCATCTCCGAGGCCTTGCGCTCGGCTTTTATAGTAATTTTATTCGTTTTGTATTGCCTACAGTTGTCGAGTTTCTAAATTCTTTCTTACGACGGCCGAGCATTTCCTTTGGGAAACGAAACGTGGGGCTTTTTATGCAATTTGTGGTAGGCCCGGAACACTTGGGGTAGTATTTTGATTCAGTATGACCGTCAGGATATTTCAAGATGTGGAAAGGACCTGACGATAGTGCAAGAATAGCTATTCAAAAAGGCGCACGGTACCCATCGTAGTATTATAATTCCAGAAGGCGGTGCTGGTCGAGGATGGTTGTTTTCTGCCAATAACGGTCAGGATACGGTTAGATTATCATTCATATAATAAAATATTTCATTTGGAACAAGTTTGCAGTATTCCCGCAAAAACAGGATATGTAATGTAACGGTCCACTAACAAATGCGCATTCTTGTGTTCACCGTAACAAACAGCCACAGTTTCGCCCCAACAGGTCTTGTTCATTTTTAGTCGTTGAAAGAAACCGCTGATCGCATCTATTTGCGTACTATTCACAAGTGAGTAGTATCTCACAACAGTAGTAGCGTTTGGATGACCAACTCCGTACCGAACTTTAGGGTTAATCCAACTGTCAGTCATTTCTATGTGTGCTTATCAATTCACGTGTTCCTGCGGAACTGGCCATATCGGTCATTTTAGTCGGCAGTTGACCAGATGAAATCAAGTGCATCATCCGGCTTGGTTGAGAAAAGGAGTAACAAAGGTCATTTGTAGCTCATCTGTGGAGAATCTAATTAATACGCGGCATACATTAGATGTCGAAACATCATTCGAGGTAATCTACAGGATTCCGATGAATCTGCAAACTATGCTGTTCACAGCCCAGAAGTTAGCTATTAGGATCCATCACCCCGAACTGTTCCATATCTTAAGGTGATCACAACCCGACAGTATGACGTAGTTAACTGTTGTTCAGATAATTAAATAGTGATTACTAAATCATCGTGTTATGTAATCAATTTAATCAAATGGTTACTTACATCTCTGTATCCTCCTCGCATCCCAGTTCACAACTTCTGTTGCTACCATCTGATCATATAATAATATAGAATCTTGAGAAGGAAAAGCTGTATGTCAGAGAACAGTACTTGGACTAAATGAGTGGCACACAGATCGTTTCCTGAAAGAGGCTTCGTGATATTTTACCGAGAAAATTCAACCACACGATTGGTTTGTGACCAAACTTTACCCAGCAAATGCGATCAGATTACCTACGAAGTTAGATCGTGGGTGTGCGATCACAGCCAAATACAACACGGTTACATAACATTAACTGTTCATTCAAAAGGCTACGACAATGCTTAACATCAAGCATTTCACGTATTGTGAATTCAAAGCCAATGGTCTAAAAGAGACGCTATCCTGGCCAGTGGTTTCATCAGAATGAAACCCCATTGAACATATACGGCACTCTGTAAGTCACCGACTTGAGAAATTTAAACCATCATCTGACAGATTGGGAATGACTTTGATTGGGGTGTGAAGTAAAATGAAATGGTTTACACGTTAGTTAATGGCGAAATTGTAACACAAGATGAAAAACTTGATGGTAGCCTTTTGCTCATTAAAGATGCACATTTTGCTGAAGTTTTGAATTTTACAGTATCAAGCTTGGATTAGCTCATTCGATTGTTTAGAGGCACTCTTGATGGTCTTGGATGTGGGTTTCAATCCTTGGGAGATCGTTAATTTCCTACGAGGTAATGCATTTAAATGCGATGGAAATGTTTGTGATAACCAAAAAAGAGCACTGGATAGCTGCTTCGTCCTGTTTGGGACTCATCAGCAGTGCGTACATTTTGAGTCCCAAACAGCACGAATCAGCTGTTTAGTGCTCTTTGTTGGTTATCCTAAACCTTTTACATTTTACTTTTAAGTTTGCCTAGTTGAATTGTTTCCAAACAGAGTGGCATAACACTAAGAAACCAATGATTGATGCAACATTTTGCGCGTTGGCGAGAGGGAAATTTTATTGCCCCTTTCTTTGCATACAGTGTATGAACAGGAATTGACCTTTTGTTTATTTTGGGGAACAATAAAATATGCTGCCATGGATTCAATCGAAATTTATATTTAGTTTCTCAATTACTTCACATTTCTAAGAAGTGCTTGAAATTGTTTTTGGACATCTTTTTGTTTTGGCGAACAAAAATTACATTTTCAAGACCCAGAGAACAAGATGTGTGCTTTTATAATCCTGGGGTGGTCTCACTCATATTTGGGAAATTTCAATCTCGTAAGACTCAACCAGAACAGAATATAACAAAGGTTGGGGGTGGAGTGGAATTAGATTAGATCACTCACTTCCAATGGGCAACCCGATCCCATAACCACGCGGATCCAGCAAACCGCCAAGGGGAGTCAGCAAACAGTTACGTTGTGAGTAGTACTCGTTCAGTGTGGATTCCAAGATGAACGCGTAATTCCCCTCCAAGGCACGAGCAATTCCGTCTTCGGTTTTATTCACAAACATGGATTTGTTCGCGTTCATAAACTCCCACATACGTTGATAGGTTGGAATGTCTGAATGCTGAACAAAAATAAAACAGTTTTATGTGTTGACTTTTCATTCGAAAACAGTACATACTACTGATAAAAGAAAAAATAGGATAAGGAAAGTTCGTGATATTTTCCGGACGAAAGCGAAACTTTGAGTTAACTGCAATTATTTCTAAAGGTTGATTGAAAATGATATAAGTCCTAAGTTTCAGTGATGTCATGACATGCCACACACACCAATCGCAACTGAGAATTTGTGCAGATTATGTCGAACCATTTGCAAATTGTTTGTCGGATGTTATGTGGAATTCTGTTGCTCTATCACAAATCTGTAGAGCATACGGTGTGCTTGGTTGCTAATTATACAACTGTTCGAGGTTTCAAGGCGGTATACCAATTTACCGTATCAAATAACTTTAGTTCAATAACAATAAAGTAGTATTCGATGTTCACTTAAAAAAATAGCGTGAACTTAAAGACCAAATGATACTGCATATTCACATGGTATAGATGGAGGATTGGATTTGGTCATATGATGAACTTCACCGTACAAACGAGCAAGCAAAACGTGAGATGAAAAGTCAGTAGGCAGTACTGTATAGCTGTTTCAACTCAGTCGGTTCTCGTCTATAGTGCGAGCCCATCTACCCAACTGAGGAGTGAACTCAGGACCTCCGAGGTCGAACACAAATAAACTACCCGCATTACCACTGAGCATCTGATCAAACTGTTTCTTCCTCTGGTCTGTACACGAATTAGGATGATATAGTGCTTCCTGGCCTCTGAGCTCCTCCTTTGTTTACTCCATTCATTAAAGACTCACCATACGAATGCATAGTAGTATGAATTTTGTTGATTATTACCAGCATAGTTTGTCTGTCACTGCCACTAAGTAATAGAGAGGACGCAACCATACTGCACTGGTTGATGACCGGACAGCTGAACGGACTGTTTTATTAAATCCACACACAATAGAACTTGTTTTAGACAACAAATACAGTCCATATAAGTACTAGTTTTCAGCAGATGTGACTAAGTCGAAGGTAGCAATGTTTAAAAAAGCTTTTCAATTCACAGCGATTTAACCTTAAATGCGATAGATTTTTTTCTAAATTAAAGTCAAATCACACTCTAATATCCATTGAAACTTAGTAATTATGATTTTTAAAGGTCATTATTTTGCAAGAAACATTGCATTTCACTAAATTTTAGGTTAGATCTTTTGTACTGATTAAATAAATACACATCTCTGGTATATGTTGTCACATCTGTGCGATATTGCTTAGTTACGACAACAAAAAACTGTCACTCAGTTTTATTTACGCTTATTTACGTTTTATCACGACCACTCTCTCAAGTCCTATCCGACATGATCAGTTTCCATACATTGTCACCAACTTTCTTAGATTGAAGAAATACTATTTCTATGATTTTCGAAATTAGATGGGTTCACTCAGAAGTTCAATTTTATAACCGATTTTGTTAGTTATAAGTTCAAAAGTGGACTGAACGAACTCCATCAGTGACAGCAACCGGGTGAAATTACACCTTTTTATTTGTGCGTTTTTCTTTTTTCTCATGCTAAAGCCCTTTATAAACGCTGTGTTTTCTGCTGCATGCATCATGTTGAGATGCAGCCAAATCATCCATGCAATAATGTGTTAGTGTCTTTTCTTTTAAAATTCATTTCGGGAAATGCCTGCTTCAGAAATTAGTTGCAGTAAGTCACTCATAGAGTCAACCAAAACACAACTGCCGTGGATACTGGAACGTATTTGGCCATGGGTGCTATGTCATTGCAAATAAAAGCACTTTGCTTGAAAACAAGGTACTTACTGGCGAGCATCAGTGTTGCTGCTGGTTGAGAGCTGCCAGCTGCATCCATTCTTAGTCCATTGCAAAATGACCCTGTGCTTGAGCCAATTATATTTTCTTTTTTAATTTGCGTTTTTGTTTGATTTCAGATGTGCATTTATTCCAATAAATCCTACTCTTGTTAAAAATAAAGATACGTTTCACTTTTGTGAGTTGAATATTTTGAATAAAAGCTATTTTATCGTTATATGGAAGCTGACTATGGTTTAGCCATCATGGAATGATCAATTTTTATGACTTAGCGGTACTGGTCACACTTGACGTGGATGACAGATGCCACGTAGCGGGTGAAGATCTGATGGATCTTGGGTTTGGGTGGGTGGATGTAGGCAGATGAAGATTCACTAGTAGGAGATCGTTGGGTGGAACGAAGCCATCGAAAAAGGGACACTTCTTCTCATTAGGTTTAGGATGACTGAACCCTCGGAAATTGACAGAAATAAATAACATGAGAGCATGGCAACAACGGGTCATGTCCGTTCGGGTAAGGAATTCACCATCCCTAGGGGATTATTCAAATCCAATTGAATTGACGTGGACACAACTGGTGCTCACGTGGAGGGAGAATTAATAAATAAATAAACAAAAACAAAAATAAAGCGTTTTTTATCTCTTTATATATGTTTTTGTAGAATTATTTTGGATGAAGCACACAGCAGCAGCACTGTTTCAGGCGTATGTTATATCCGCTGATTTTCATCCCACACATAAAGGGTGTTTTGTCATTCGGGATGCGATCAGGAGAAAACAAAATCTGACTTGCAAATAACCCGCAGATTTGATAAGCGGAGTGGTGCGTATGACAGAAAACAAGCGCGCGCGGTAGATTCAAACAAATCTGTTGTTGTTGTTGTTGATGATGATGATGATGATGATGATGATGATACCCTTTTAATTGATTCAAGTTTCATTGAAATAAAAAAAAGTGCATTGAAACGGTCCAAAACGAGAAAACAGAAGTAAACGTTCCACACAAAGCATTTTAATTGAAAATTAATTTCCTCCCAATAATCCACATATGTTATTGCAAGCATCTTGTGAACGCATCTGTAATACGTCAAAATCTAATTGATTTGCGCCATTCTATCACTTAGCACCAACGCTGCATATAGGTTAACAAAAACCCAACCATTCGGTGTTAAAATCAACGATTTTTGTTTTCCATTTTGCCCTATGATTTTTGTACATCACTGACATATTTAACACGTTCGGTACACCGTTGAAACTTGCCGCTGCTTCTCTGCCTGCATTTAATACATTGGATGGTGTCACAAAGCCGGTATTCATTACGGAAGTACACCGTAGGTTGCTTCTGATTCGGTATCACTGAAATCATTTAGCTGCTTCTCATCTAGTGTTCTCCATAGATATGCCACGTGTGATGGCATTCTTTCACCCCAGCCTTCATCAACACAAGTTTTGATGATGCATTTCTCGAGGATCCCAAAGAGACAAACAACTGACTGTAACGGTGAATCAAAGTTTAGCATGCATCGGCTGATTGGGAACCACAAATGCCCTATACACTTGAAATCGGAATGGCAGAGAATCCAGCGGTGGAACTCGGGTTTACATTTACCGAAACGGAATACAAAGTGAACAGGGAGGAGGATTGACTTAACGAGAATTATAAACACAGGTTTGTATGTTTGGACGCGAAGCATGTCCATCTCATCGATATCGTTAAAAAACGATCGTTGGAGAACCTTAACGAAATTCTGCTAGCGCTATAACCTTGGCTGATAATCAAACATTTGATGAAGAAATATGAAGCTCGAAGAACAAATCATTATCAACCATGTAAATACATCTATTTTGGTCACCTCCCCGGGGAAATGGCTCGGCTTTTGTGTGTTTGGATGTGTGTGTTTATGTATGCTTGTGTGTGGAGTGGAGTGTGTGTGTGTGTGTGGAAGGGGGGGGGGGNCAAATTACGTACCTTGAAAAATGAATACGTTGATCCTCCATACAAAGTTCCGTATTTGATTTTTGTCTGTCGTGTCAGATCTTCCACATTCTCAATATCTGTTTCCATACGATCGATTGTGAGAAATGCAGCCAAGTTGGCGGTGTACGAGGAGACCATGATTAGGATGAAAAACCACCAAATCGTTCCGATGATTCGAGTCGATGTGGCCCTCAAAGAGATATCACATCCTGAACCCAAACGAGATAACAGGGCGAAGGAAGGGCAAGAGAAGAAGCAGGGAGCAGGAAAAAACCGATTGGCGAAGGCGCTATGACGCCAAATTACCTAAACAATGACATTATTGAAAATCTTCCAACACCAAACAACCTAGAACATCTTATTTTACTTTATACGAAAAGATAGGGTGTCAGAGCTGTTTGGTTTGAGCGTGGTGCGGTAAACACTATCAATCACTATCTCCGACGGCAGTCGAATAGTTGCTAAATGCCACAACGTTTTGCGAAAATAGTGACGAACGTCTTGTTATGTCTTATAACATTTTATTTTTAACTAACTGAGATAGTAAGATAAACTTGGACCCATCATAATTACACCCTGATGAAGCTATGATCAACAAAAGGCTGTTGAACAAAAACTTGTGTGTTTGTACCACTATATTTTCCAATTTTTCATTCAACTTGCCGGCGGTAAAATAATTTTCAGATGGTGCATAGCAGCGATTGAATGAAGAAAACAAACACATGAATGAATGTGAATATTCAACACGAAATGTGTGATTATAGAAAGGTTTTTCGCACAATCAAATGAACTGTTCTATTGTTTGCTTTTATTCGGACGTTTGGTATTGGTTACGATTCCGCTGAAATCAGGGTAAAAATATCAGGCGAAGGAGTTACCAAAGTTAATCTTTTAGAGAATGAGCTAAATATAATGTATTTTCGTGTTACTCGGCTTAGTTTAATCAGATAGGAATACAATTCGGTTCTGTAAATGCAGTTTATGGTTCAATCCACACTTTGGTTGGTGATTATTATAATGCTTTATGCGTGAAGTCAAACAGAGCCGAACTAACCATAAAAGGCTGTCTATTTCTGATTTTTATGAGATTTTGTTTGAAAGCTTCAAAAAGCGCTATCCCAATTCATACTACGCGTAGTCATGGAAACATTATCAAATTAGATTAACAACTAAGTATACACTATCGGTTGTCATCAATTAGTTGATCGATTCTCAAACAAACTAGCTCAGTTAGTATATGTGGGCAGCACCAAAATCACGGAATGTAGCTACGCGCGTCGGCATAGATTTCTATGCAAATAGTAACTCGCTAATTTGTCCTCTGAAGAGGTCATGCAAACTTACCACGTATGAGTACCATTCCGTAATGGAAACCCAGGGGTCATGGGAGAACAATGCTCATTAGGCAGCTCGCCGAACGATCAATCAGTCAAACGATCGATGAACCAATCAACCAGACGAATATGCAAATTATTCACTGTGACCAGTTGGTCTCCACAGGGTAATGGTGAGTACGACGAAAGAACTAGTAAGATATGGTACGCGAGTCACGTGACCCTACTGTCCATATGCGAAGATGTTTTGAGTAAATTGTTTTACTCAGAAAAGGTTTCGGTTTTCTCCAAAACTTATTTCCGCATTTCCGTTAATGTTGTATAAATTAGTTTTACCACGATACTGTCAAAGGTTGATAGTAAAAGCTATCCAATGTTTAGGAGAGACATTCTAACCCCTTGTGCGATGTTCGCAATTAAGAAATACGGTTTGGGATGAACAGAATATGATTAAAGATTTTGTTCTCTGCTATTTCAAATTCACTGCAAACACCGGAGCTAGGACGTTTTCAGAATTTATGCATGAAAAGCCGTATTCTTTTCGAATGCACGAAAAGTAAGGTCTTAATTTCGTAAAGTGTTTGGTTTTATATGCTTCTCCCAGTGATATTCAGAATATTTATCAAATATTAAGCACCCTGCTCCAAAATAATGCGAGCTTAACATTGCGAAATGTCTCCCCACATAAAGTATGAGGAAAACAGTGGACAACAATACTGCACAAAATGGTAGATGATAATAACTGAAGATCCATTGGTGAGATCATCCAAAAATAGCTTGTCGTCTTCGGTTAGAAGATACTGAGCACAGAAAGAGAACAATTGAATGTTGATCGGGTTTGGAGACTGAATTATTTACGTGCTGAAATGTCAGAAACGGGTCATGCGGACCCGGTCGACCACCGACCCATTGCGATTAATAAAACCATGAACATTCAGTAGGATTGTTTACTTTACACAGTTTGGTAACCGTTTTCACTGTTACGTGAGTGTAGTATATTTAAGGATATGGCACATTCAGTTTAAGAGAAAGCATCAGTTCAGCGGATTACCTAATAATACTGCTACCACTACTACTACTACTACTCACCCAATGTGAGTAGTACTTTGAAATTGTGGCTGGTGGATTCTTTTAGCATATAGAAATGAGCAAAACATTCTGGAGCAGATAAGTGTATTTGATGGTATAATAAAAAGAAAATATGGACAAGGTGACTTGTTCGTTTCAGACTGTCTGTTTCGTCCCGTGTAANGTAAACCGATTTAGTTAATAGCCACATCATTTTTGCAATACTGGTTTTGTGAGTGCTACTGGTACTCACATTGAATTAGAGATGGAAACAGTCCACCACTTAATTAACTAAACCTAGTATAAACAATCGCAGAAAATTAGCACATCTGTTTTTTAGCTAGACAATTATTCTCTCTTACCTTGCTGCATCAAGGAGCCCACGGTGAACCAAAAGCTGTTCAGCAAGGTGAATTGATTTTCCACTCTTTGAGAGCACGGATGTCGTGGGTANGTGGGTACCACTCGTCCGGAGTTACTCGTCCAAGAAAGAATAGTGTCAGGCTGACAACCAAGTAGGCAATCAGGACGGATATCCAAACCTGAAATCAAGGCATTATAGGTCAATAATGGGGTGGGAGAGGCTACTTCACAAGAAGGATTAAAAACAAAGGAAAGCGGAATTTTGTCAATAATTTGGGAGTTCTGCAAGGTATTGTGTTCATGCCCGTACTTGTCACATTTTTGGGAATATTTCATTTCATTTCCTTTCAGTCAAGATCTTTGTGTAAGCTAATGGTCTGATTCTATTCAAGGTTGTCCGTTACTATCTCATTATCGGTTATCAAAGTTGCAAGCATTTTCTGGTCAGTCCAGTTTTCATCTGAAATCTTCTAAATGCTTGAAATGTACCATTATTATTACGATGGAAATGTTTGTGATGACCAAAAAAGAGCACTGGACAGCTGTTTTGTCCTGCTTTTTGAACTCGTCATCAGTGAGTACTTTTTGGGTTCCTGTCAGGACTCGAACCGCGAACATTCGGGTGGGGGCTTCAAACTTCACCCCTCAGCTACAACGTTGACGGTCATCATCTGATGCGAATGGCTCAAGAAAATTCTAGAGTATACAGCTTATATTAGCTAATCAACAGTGCCTAGCGCCTCTGAACAATAGAATGGGCTAATTCAAGCTTGATACTCTAAGTACCATTATTATTCTTTCGCTAGGTGAGTGCCAATCCGCTTCCTCGATCATGATCTCTAACTTCATAACCAGAATTTATCACTCAATAACTTGAATTCTCCATAGAGAGCACCTTAGGGTGTTCTTCCCACAAAAACCGTGTTGTTAAACTGACTCGACTATCCTTAGACAGTGAAAAATTTGAGGCAAATTTGAATGAAGCATTTCACTGTTGTTTATGAAGAGATTCACCCTATCATACCTCGCTGTCCAGTAATGATTGTCCCTGGTCTGCTTAGCATTACTCTATTCTATTCGCATTATAACCGAAAAGATTAAAGTCATTGATCGAATTATTGTAGATTTCTTTACATTTTAACATTCTATATCTAAGACCTTCATGCTTGATTATCTCAGTGGAACAGTAAACACGTATTCGTTTGACAGAAATGTAGACATATAAATGTGCACGAATCGTTTAAACTGCACAGCGCATGAAACTAGCTTATTCAAAGCTGTCAATATAAATATTCACAATGGTACATGTGTATATGTATGTATGTGTAACCGAAGTAACGAACTACTTCATTTGCACGTGCCCATTCTCTCTGGGTATTTGAGTGTATTAATTCATTGTGTATGATGTCAATGTAACATGCATTCAGGGAGGCGATTGTTCGACCGGAGCACCCAAACATACTCTCCACTGTGTTGCATAACGCTGCTGGGATTAAGTTATTCATCAGAACAAGGTTTTCACGCTAGGAGTAGGGTGGATCACACAAGTACAACCCTGTCATGATTCGGTATGCAACTTCCGGAAATATGGTTTTACAAAGGACAAACGATCTATTTTCAGAATTTGTCTCCACAGCGGCATCCCTATCGAGTGTCTAAAAAGAAAGACATACTGGCAACTCTCTTGCGGCACTATATGATGCTGTTGTTCCTCCCATGAAGCCGATTTTTCAATACAACTAATTAGACACCCAATATTCTGAATAGGCACGATTACGAAGCATTTAGTGTTATCATGTTTCAATGTGCATATTTTTGCATTCGGAATGAAATTCTATGCAACGGTTCCAATTAAAATGTGGGTAAAAAGCGTTATAAACTCAATTCTACCCGACGACAAAAGTTGTATTGTGGAATAATAGGCAATGATCTTTGGATAAATGGTGTTTCTACGAAAGGAGATGACAGGGAACTATTACCGAAGCGTTCGTACGACTTGATAAAAACAAAATGTAGGTATACACAGAACAGAGCAATCATTCGACCAGTTGAACGTACCTCTCGTGAAAGTGGAGCGGTAAACTGAAGACCCGGATCGGTGTTACTCTTGCGAATGATTACACTGAGCGACAGGCTCATGAACGGTGTGGTGAAATCGATCACGCGCTCTCTATCGTATGTGATTGTCAGGGAGGCCACAGCCAAATGCGCTTTCTGAAGGGCGTTGAATGCAGCGTGAGGACGGGAGAAGAGGTGGGGGGGGACGTAGATCGGGATCATATGTTCACATTCAAACAGATTTGGGTTATTTTTCGATTTGACCACTCTCTCAGTTTGATTGTTTGGTGGATTTTGGCTAATACAATGTGTTGGTTGGACGGGAATAGGAATGAGACAGACAACCATTTCAAATTTGAGACACTTAGAGTTGTACCAGCGGTGATCCTCGATCATGGGGAAAATCTGTTATTGGGAGCGTATCAGCTGGTGACAAATAGCTTGTGGAACTAAAACAATGGCTCGAACAGAGAAGTGGCTAGAACCACAGCTAATACAAAATAACGCGGAGAGTCAGCCCTCGATGGATGCCACGGTGGCACCCGGCTGATGAACATAAAGTGATCTTCATGTAGTTGACCAGTATAAACGAGATATTTCTCAACTACAACAGAAATGGTTTTAATCGAAATGATAGTCGACCCTGTTGACTCATGTTCCTTGAGTCCCTGTAAAAACTGTCTGTTTATTCTACCGATGTAGCGTGCCCACCTTGAACAAACAAATAATTTGATGATAAGCGAACAGACGAAAATGAAAACTTATTTGTTCCAACTCAATGCTCAATCGGTTCCCAGATGAAAAGTGGCCTATTCAATGGACAAAATAAGCTACCGATTGATACTACTGAATAATAAATGGAAGATAACTTTAAGATAATTCACGTCACTTCTATGAGTTAGTATTCAACGGTAAAGCAGATTGAAATCCCAGAAGCTTAGTTTCCAACCCCTATCGCCCGTTTTACCCACTCCGTTAACCCTTCATACTCTGATGAGTGTTCTCTTTGTGTCTTCTTCCTCTCAGTCAATCTACGTGATCAATTGTTCTGCGGATGTTCACACATGAATGACCAGGTTTCATATTTGGTTTGAACATCGTTATTGGATTCTTAGAGCAAACAAACTGAGCAGACAATTTGAGTAAGTTATTGAGATTTCAGCCTCGTTCGATGAAGAATGTTTAGCAAACTGTTTGGGTCTTGTGAGGCAGTCGGGGGAACTAGTTTTCAAGAGCGTGCAAAACACGGATTGTTTGTGAACAAATGACTTTGATATGCATAAAAGACCTGACTCAAAGGAGAACAATTTGTTCCTTTGTGAAGGAACCGCGCAGGAATGTTAGTTGTCGTGAAAAATGAAGAGGTGAATTGAGTCATGACGCACGTGATTAAATTCAAATCAGAATTACTGAGGGCTAAACTCTGAACAAATTTTCCGGAAGTTTACTGCACCTAATTTAATGAACTGAAAATCAATTTTAAAACAATTACAGCAACTGATATGAAATTTCAATAGAACAATTATTTTTATTAGTTCATAATTTTGGTGTTTGTTTGTGAGAATAAAATTAATAGTTTTGGTTGGTGATTGAAATTGAACTGTGAAATGGACAGCTTTCCGCTATTATGCGTGCACATGATGGGTTCTATGCTGTCAATCTCTGTGACTCAACCAGTTTCGAATAGCTTGCATGTGTTCCCGTATTCTTAAACACTTAAGAGCTGGAACGAAACCAATCCATGCACATAGTTCGAGGTTTCTCCAACATGGAGATTGATTCCTCGCTAGTGTCCACATTACGCTTTTTGGATCGGTTCGTAGGAGTCTGTTGAGTGATCTGAAATTCCTCAGGTGAGGTCACTTGCTGACCAGTTTCTACTAGATGAAAGAAAGTCTCAATTGGCCCAGCAACCCTCATGGCTCTCTCAGTAGCGGCAGATTTCTTTTGTGCCGGCCAATGTGATGTGTTGGGATAGCAGTACAAATAAAAGATGTTTGGTTCGAACTTAGCTGGTCTGGCGCATGTTCGTCTATGGTATATCTGCTTTTCCGTGATCTGTATTTTTACATCATACTGTGTTGAAGGCAATCATCAAGTGTGCTACGGCTTCTCAGTACCTCGAATGTAAACCTGAGTGTATCTTCCGGAAGTTTATACCACCCGAGTCTCCCAAGTATTGATATGAGACAATTCACCAATTTCGTTTTAATTTTGACAAACTCGGTGCTACGATTGTTTTCCACATGGATCTCGGTTAGCAAGATACCTGATTGATTTATTGAATTACGGAAATGTAGTTAATAAATATTTGAAAAAAGTATTCACATGAAGGTGTGATTGAAATTCAGATCATGCCGCTTTTGAACCTCTTATTCACAAGGCCAAAAAAGCCACTCACCCACTCGTGAGATTAATCCGATTCCCAAATTCACAATAAACGAAACCAAGGGCTACAAATAGCAGCTTGCCATGTTAACATGTATAAAACACAACTGACACAAGATTTCACATAGCCAGTCAGTCATATCGGGATTTCAATGATAATCGTCACATTCGCGAGTTATCAATGGATGCAAAGCAATAGCCTGAGTCAGTAACAGTTCACTCACAACTGTCGAAAACAAACAATAACATTGGACCTCATATACGATTACATCTGTCCTTTTGGGACGCAGTTCATTCATGCTTGTCCATTGCCCATGAACAGGACAGATGAATAACGTACGCAACCCCACGCACACAATTTATGATCAACCCTCCTATGTCTCTCTTTTTTTCTCTCTCCCGCATGCTCTGTGGCTTCGTTTCACCATTGCAAGCGAAGTAAACTCGATTAAAGTGATAATCGGTCAGAAGGTCGGAAATGGAATAAAATCAATTAGAAATTTACCTCAATGCGAATGGAATTTATTGACTGACATATTAGTTCTTTTCGTTGGCCATTATTTCAAACAATACACTCTCATTTTCTTCAATTGTGAATGGATCAGGATGGAACATTTGTGAAGATTCTCACTGAGTTTGGGATAGACGTGGTCAAAAGAGAAAACGTATTTGAAATATAATCAAATTCCCGCTTGAAACAATCCAGAAAGAAGTACTGGTTTGGAAAATTTCTGATTGTGTTAGTATAATTTAAAGGACACGAAACCCAGAGGATCGGCAACGCTGTGTGTGTGAATAGAAGTGAAATTAGCCATGATACTGTTCTACCTCTAAATCGAATAGGATGAATAAATCACGAAGGTCACCCGATCCGCATCAATACAGTCAGTGTAGTGTATTTCTGTCTCTTTCTACTTGTGTACATGTTGACGTGGGACATAGGCGGAGCAGAGCATGAACTAAGCACCGACAGCGTTGAAGGTTCGCTTACTTCCAGCACTGAGACCCCAAGTAAGAAGTTCTAAGAAACTGTCAGCCTTGAGAGGAAGGCTAGTAAATACTCCGTTTTTTTATTCATAAGTGCCTCGAGTTTCTCGGATATATTATCACGTACATTTCTTCTGATCAATTTCCCCAGATTGCCCTTGCTTTAACGTTGAGGCTGAGTTTATCTTAATACATCTTCAGAGGAAATATTTTGTTTACCCGATTCTCTCTCTGTCGTCAGAATACAAAACCCGTGTTCTCTTTTTCGGGGAAATCATGACCTATTGACCAGTGATACAATTTTTGAAAAAGCATGCAAGATTCCTAATGCTCACTTAGGATACGGTAGTTGCATCCGCTTGAATATCCAGAACCCCATCGGATTGGGCCAACTGTTGCACAAGATAGGCCTATTGCACTGTGAATCAATGATTCTTTTGGCTGAAAATTGTATTCGTCAAAAATGTATTGGAAGCACTGGGTCCTCTTTATCCATTTCAATAACATAGAAGACAAATGTCACGAGACGTTGAAATTTCATTTAATTTACTCAATTCTTTATATAAAACAAACAAGCATATATATAGCACATGGGGTTATTCAGTTATTGTGCATGAACGTGTACAAGCGTACAAAGATCACTAAGCATAGAAGTAGATGGTCAACTCCGCGGTAAGTGGATTGATGGTATCAAAAACGTTTGTGCGCATAAGTCCGAAGGATGTAACTGAATAAGCAGCGCTGCTCTAATTGCCAAGATTTTAACATTGCAATTACTTAAAAGTGATTTTGGGTCAAATATGTGTCTTGTTATCATGAGATGTTTTGCAACAAATGACCCTGGATTGATGGTCAAGCGATTACACGAAACTCAGAGTCCAGTCAGTTCATACGGTTGAAACACACTGGTCGACACTAAATCCGATCTTTAGGTGATAAGTTTGTGATGCAGTAGAAATTGCGATACTCGACAACAGACATCTCATTTCCTATGTTCTGTCGGGACTGAAAGATCAATTGGTAGCTGGAAAAAATCGAAAAGCTTATCTAAAAGCAAATCGGGTTAGTTCAGAAATGAAACACACTGAGAGGAATAAACTGGACCCAATTAGCTATAAACGAAGTGTGGCACACAAGAGGAAAGTATCCTGGCTTAATGTTGTTGATCAACCATGGTCCCTAGTTTCGGTTATTGAGCGGGTGGAGGCCTTCAGAAGTTCGTTTTCATGAATTTAACACATTCGCTTAGCAATTAAGTATATCCAAATTGTGCACGTATAGATGCGACGAACGGATTGTCACTTCTCCTAATGCCATGAATGGTATCATCTCTCATTTGGTTTTAAAGCTAATCATATTCGATTGGTGTTTCTAGTGTTGTTCGATCACCGAGCTAACGTTGATTTATTCAATCCAGTTGCTTAGATAAAGATCAATTCAATCCCTATAAACTATCTGATGAATTATATGACCGTGATACAGCTATTAAATTTCCAATATTCACGTCCACAAGTTTTTTCAACTTCTGAGACGCTTCCGAAATGAGCATAAATTCGCAATCATTAGTTCCGTTTACGTGATATTTTCGCTGAGATAGTGAAGTGCATTTCCACCTGAGTCGGTTTCGTTACTGCGTCTCCTCACCCACTGACCAGATGATGACAGTTTTTTAGTTCGTGAAGTGGAACGAAGTTAAGCCACACAAAATGGAAAAACAGAACACAGTAGACACCATCCAATTAAGGACGGGGTTCGTGCCACATACTGTTCTTTCAGGCTGA